AGTAAAACTTTACTTGCCTGGGATATCAAAGATAACATCTGATGATTTCCGCATTCTTCAATTTAGCATGAGTTTAATTAAGTACAACTTTCATTTCTGAAGTTTTGGTAATAATTTTGGTGGGTCACTAACATTATTTTAATTGCAAATGTGTAAAAGTGAAATCATACTTTCATATTCATTTCCTGGCTTTCATATAGGAAATAATATGCTAAATTATGTTCCAAAAGTTTGTATATGTGGCTATCTTTGGCTGTTAATATTATGCTTCTCTCAAAAGTACTTTTTGAAATTAAACATAGATTTATAATGTATTTAGAATTTTTACAATCCTTTTAAGAGTTTGTAACTTAACTTTTTTATTAACAGGGAACAATTGTATTTTTTTTTTCAATAGCCTTTTCTATTATAATATCAGAAAAAAAAATTTTTTTTAAATCAATTATTAATGTAACTAATACCTAAAAAAGTCCTTGTTAATATTAGGATCATCAAAATCCTAATTAATATCTATAAGCACATTATATTTTACATAAATTATTTTGGCTTACTGTTTTTTAAGTAAATTATTTTAGAAGGAATGTGTATAACTCTTTGTAGTTTTTTTTTTAATTTACTACAAAAAATAAAGCTGAGGAAAGCATGGTGAATGTGTGAGATAAATAATGTAAGTCAGCCCTGCTTTCTAATCCATGCCGACCTTGGCCTTTTCCTGTGGATAGACATCTGTAAATGATCATTTGCATATCCAGGCCCTCCTGCAGCCAAATGTTGTCCATCACTTGAATAATCTGCAGAACAAGCATATCTTGGCGAAGATCATCTCCTGCCTATTAAAAACAAAATGATAGACTTAAGGTTTCTCCATGAATTTCATTAACTGCAAACACACATAGTATATGATATTTCTTGTCTTAGAAATTTTGCAGTTTGATCTAGGGTAGCTTCAATTGTTTTAGAGTCCTTGTGTGGAGCTGTAGGTTAATATGCTGGACTGCAAAATTGGTTTGAACTACAAGATCAGTGATTCAAGCTCACCAGGTGCTCCTTGGAAACCCTATACAGGGTCGCTATGGGTCAGAACTGACTTGATGACACTTTTCAACAGCAATAATAATTGTTTTATTAACAACAGTAGCAGATTAACCATTAAGCATGGTATGCACTGGTTTACAATAAGCAAGGTATGCACAAGCTTAATTGTGTTCACTTACTAATCTGTAGTGAACAATTTCACCTGGCTTTCACTACATTATTGATATGGTGAAATTGTTCATTACAGATTATTAAGTAAGCACAATTAAACCAAGGCATACCTTACTTATTGGTAATCTGTCCCTTATTAACATTAAGACTACTTGTGTTTCTCATAGAAGATAAAAGAAAGTGAGAACTTTCCTCTACATGATTACAGAGCTGTAGTTACTGAACTCAAAGTGCTGCTTGTAATGTTTTCTGATACTAATTTTTCAATTTATTATCTGTGTGCAATTTCTTAGATTGAGTCTGGTGGAGAGATTGGATGAATGCTTCTCCAAATTTCAAACTTAGTCAAACGGGATCTCTTTCTAAGTGAAACAGTACTTGGTATGTCAGAAGTTTATGCATTGATATACAGTTAGAATATCAAGAGCTTCTTAACTAAGAATATAAATAGCACATACATGATTCATCAGGCTTTGAATCTGCAAGTTCTTGTATTATGAAGGCAGTTAAAAAATTTCTGAGAAAACAGTCTTGGATAGTTATAAGAAATGGTAACAGGGTAATTTTTCAGCATAGGTGAAGGAAATGGATTCTGTCCAAAGGGGAGGATAGTTTTATGTTTTTATACCTGTAAGCAGTTTGGTTTTGAAAATGTTTTCCATATCATTCTGCCAAGACTGTCATCCCCCTGCTCCTATACCAAAAAATGCAGTGTCACAGGACCATGAATGCCTGAGGTTACACAGACCAAAGCCAAAGTAGGAGTGTGCTAATCACTATCCTCCAAAATAGACAGTCAGAATTTACCCCAAAAAATCTACTCTGAGCTCTTATTACATAGTTGGCTGAACAACTGATTATATTAAATGGATGATTGGCAAAACCTTACTTTTTGTTTACAGCTCTATCTTTAGTCTCTCTTTCCTGGCTTTCTTAGAGCCCTTTTCCTCTATTTCCTCAGCATTTTCATGATGAGGTATAAAATGATGCATATTTATTTTTTGTTTAAAAATAACTAAAAATTGCAAAGTATTAAAATAAGAAAATGCTTATTTAGATAAGAATTGTTATATTAAATTGCCTTATGCCATTTGAGTTCACAGTTAATTTTGATTCTAATTCAGTATCTAGGCCAAAAGGAAGCTATGTCCTAAGGGCTCACAACATAATTTTCTGTGCCACTCAAATATGATTGGATAACTTTATTTATTGAATACATCCTCCAAAATCTTGCCCTGAAGCTTCAGTGGCTTTAAGTCAATAATATTTGATTTATTGCCAGTCATAATTTGGCATGTACTGTAATTCTGTAAAATTACAGAATCTAAAATAATTGGGAATCCTTTGTGTTACCAGAGGAAAATAGCTACAGTAATTTCCTTTTGTGAGTAATAAATCAATCTCTCTGCCCACAGGATTGATTGATCTAGGTAGACTACTACTATACCTTAAAGATAATACTTATTTTCTTGCCCATTGGATTAGCATTGATGAAAGTAATCTTCAATGGCAACGCATTAGATGTGAAATATGAACAAGCCTATTGGAAGAGAGGGGAAAAAAATGATGAGAAAAGTAAAGCAAAAAGAACACCTTTAGAGTCCTAGTATGGTGCTGTAGGATACACATTGGACCACTAAGCACAAGATTGGTGGGCAGTTCAAACCCACCAGCCACTCCTCTGAAACCCTATACAGGGTAGTTATGAGTGAAGTCAACTCCACAGCACTCAATAACACCAACCACCCTCCACATTTTTCTAATGTAAAATAGATGAGTTGGAGCCAACTAAATGGCACTTAACAACAACAACAATGGATATATAATACCTTTTACAGTGCTTGACACTAATTAGTTATTTTGAAAAAGTCAATATATTTCTTATTAGTCAACATTTTTACATTTAGAAATAACAGTACAACACATATTTCCTCTTCTTGTTTCAGTGACGCTTTACATTTCCATTGTCAGCTCTATGCTATTGATGACTTTCCATTTTGCTTTCATTGAGGCATATTTTTCTTTCATCTTCTTAGGCTTAAGTGCTCAAAGACTATCTGTCTCAAGGCTATGAGGGGTATATGCTGATTGTTGTTGTTGTTAAGTGCTGTCGAGTCAATTCCGACCCATAGCAACCCTGTATAGGGTTTCCAAGGAGCAACTGGTGAGCTTGAACCGCAGACCTTGATATTCAAATGACTTTGTAGTCTGGCACATTAACCCACAGTGCCACACTAGGATATTGAAGAGTAAAATCAATACTAAAATAGGAAAAGGACTTGATGCTATTACCTTACCAACTTAGTAAAATATGACATCAATACATGTTGAAGGGCCGCTTTGAATGTCATTATTTCTGAGATGTCTGAAATTGCTAGAAGCTGAGAGGAAAGGATCTATTTCTTAATTTACCTATCAGTATAAATCTAATCTAATCTCCAACCAAACACAAACCCTCGTGCACTTGAATCAATTTGAAGCTACTTGTTAAGTAATGAATTCCTGCTGCCAGGAATCAGTTAAACAGGGATCCTATCACCTTCTGTCATGGACATTAAACTAGAAAATCTTATAGTAGTCAAGATATGAATCTGGATCAGTGGTTTTCAAACTCTGTTCAGTCAATTTTTGGAGGTCTCTTTGAGGTACCATGTGTTCTGAAAACAGGCAAAAGGTGAAGGGAGACTGAAACATACACTTAATGCTTCTTCTTAACCCAAAGATACTCTGCTTTCATTGCTTAATATTTTGATTTTTTTCATATGAAATGTATTTTTTTGAGAGTCAATTAAAGAAATTACACACATTTTACTAGTATCTGTAAAGTGCTATCTATATGCTAACAGTAACAGACACTACGCCTGCCATCAGAAAGCCTACACAAATTTAGTATAGAAGTTCCATGTGTTACATATGCATTAAGTTCAAATAATTTACAAGGTAATTTATGAGCAGTTGGGTATGAGGGCATGTTAAGGAGGAAGTCTTTAGGAGATGAGCTGAGATTTGATGACAAATTAGTAAACAGGAAGAAAGATTTTTATCTTCTACTTTAATGAAGCCCTGGTAGTGCAGTGGTTAAGCTCTTGGTTGCTGACTGAGAGGTTGATGGTTCATACCCTCCTGCCACTCTGCAGGAAAAGATGTGGCAGTCTATGTCTATAAAGATTACAGCTTTTGAGCAATTCTCTGTTTTATAGAGTTATTATGAGTTGGAATGGGGTCCAGGGCAACGGAGATGTTTTTGTAGGTTTATTTTTAAACTTGAACCTAGACCCCCATCATTTGCCTTTCCCTACCTAGCTAACCTGTTTGGATTAGGAGGGCCACAGACAAAAGAAAGCAAAGAATGAATACAGAGTTTTGGAAACTGCTTTTATGAAATAAAAGAATTAGGATAGAGAAAGGGAGATATAATGTCTATTTTTGAGAAGCACAGGATCTGATTATGACTTGTGTAACTCAAAAGCCCTTACTTTGCCAACAGCGAGGGCCTCCCCTCCCTCATTTCATTTATAAGACTTTTCCCCAGTATGGTCACTCTGTTTGTGAGTAGGGAACTCTGAGTGAACTCTTGCACATTTATCACATTCATAAGGCTTCTCCTCATTGGGGATTCTTTGGTGTTGAATGAGATGGGGGCTGTGGCAACAGATTTTTCTATATTCCCTGAATTCACCAGACTTCTTATCTAAGTGAATCCAGATGAGTTGAGAGGTTTTCCAGAAGATGTTACCATACTTTATTCCTAAACTTTCTCTCCAGTATAGCTAATGAAGCATGGGCAACAGTTGGAAGCTTTGGCACATTCATCACACTGCTAGAATGTCTGTCCCTTCAGACCTCCTTGATGTTCAGGAAACTGGGAAGGCAGATTAAAATGGTCTCCAAGTTCTTTATATTCCTCACATTTATCTTTTGTGGCATTTTTATTTTTATCTTTGCCTGTTATTACTTAGATACCTCTATTCTAGTCGGCTCCCTTCTTCTGAGGGTTATTTTTCTAGTTCCCATGAACTACCTTCACAGGCATCTCCAACCTCGAGACCCCAGGAATCATTCTTGAGAATTCTCCTGTTATCATGCCAAGAGTTTCCTATCCTTCAGAAATTTCCAGCCTTGGAGTCAACTCTGACTCACCATCCTGTTCTCACCTGCCAGGCAGGCCAGGCTGTTATGCTTTTCTGGCATCATGTTCCAGTGTAGGGCTTGCTGGCTTACTGCCAAGCCTTTCTACTTCTTATAAATGGAGTCCGGAGACACATCATCATATGTTATACAATATAGACTTCTGAGGCCTGACCACTGAAGAACAGTTGCCAGTGGTTGGTCTCCTGTGCTTCCTACTTGGAAAAGGGCAGGAACCAGGACAAAAAAGATGAGAATATATTCTATAGGAAGGTGCTCACAGAAACAAGAGGAATTTCAGGGTAGGCTCCAGGAATAGAAACCCCATTGACTGGAGAGGTTAAAAGCCATTTTTATATTGGACTCAATATTGTCTCTCCTCCAAAAGTATTTTGTTATTATGTTGGGGCTGAAAATTCTCCCAGCCCACTGAAAATCCGCTACCATAGAAATGTTTTTCTGTCCCTCAAAGATGATGCAGCAACCCCAGGTCTGGAACTTTCTGGAAAGCATGCACGAAAACTGCTCTAATATGAGTAGCTCTAAGGCCTAATTCTTGGTGGGTATCTCTGGTATTGGCTGCCAGTACCCAGAACTGTTTCAGAACCTCCAGTAAGCTGGACACAGTGCTAACATAATGTCTGAAGTGCAGAGGAGAACATGATTATTCTGGAAACTATAGTCCTGTCCCCTGCTCTGGTTTCCCAGGTTCACCATCAGGTGCCCTTCTGCTTCTGTAAAATAGGGCCCACAGGTGGGGGGCTGGATCTAAAGCTCTTTTGCCTGGTGGCCACTGTGGTTCTAAAGAAAAGTGAATTCCAGCTGTTGTTGCTAAGATTAAAATAAAGAGTTTTAATTCAGGTTTCAGGAGCCGTTTGTCAGAGCAGAGTGTATGGGAGTTGAACTGGGGAGGAGATAGTGTCACATGGACACATCTGACCTATTCATTTTTGTGCCCATAGTTGCTCAGTCCTATGTTAAACGTGACTTTGCAGCATCTGGTAACACATTTCCTGCCATGAAGTACCCAGTGAGAAGAGTGTGGTCTTGGAATGATGACCCAAGCTGATCCTCTGTTGGGGCAACTATGTGGACACCCATGGGAGTCATTCCTCTTTGCCAGTGCTCATGCTCCCTCCACACACTTACTGGCCTTATAAGGAAAAACTCATGTGCAATTTTAACTGAAAAGATGCTCTATTTCTTAAGGAAATGAGCTCTGGTAGCATAGTGGGTTACAAATTGGACTGCTAACCACAAGGTCAGAAGTTTGAATCTGTCCACCACTCCATGGGAGAAAGATGAGGCTTTCTACTCTGATAAAGATTAACAGCCTCAGAAACCCTTTGCAGGGTCACTACGAGTTGGAATTGACTCCATGGCACCTAAAATTATCACCACCACTACGTGTTAAATGAAAACAAACAAGCAAAATCTTGGACTCAGTAATTCCTAATGTTAATTCTACCATAAGTTACTAAGATATGTTGAGTTTTCATAGCTTTAGCATTAATCAACCCATATTGCTATGGGTCAGAACCGACTCAACGGCACTTAACAACTACAACACATTGCTAATAATAGTCCAAATTATTTAGATTTAGATTTTATCTCAGATAGACATAATTGATTTCTGGGGTTTGAAACTGTCTTAGGCTGGCTTTTTCAGAGCTGCAAAACCAGTGAAATATGTGTGTGTGTGTGTGTGTGTGTGT